GCCCCCCGACTGAGCCTGGTTTCTCCCAAGTTTTTTTTTTTTCTCTCCATATCTGTCACAGATGGAGTTTTGGTTTCTTGACATGACTCAGCAGACCAAGTGCCGTAGGTAATCACAGCGTGCTGATATACAGCCATATCGCACAGCTACGAGTGTAAAATTGCGTTTATACAACAGTTCGATGGCACAAGTGTGTAAATAAAAATGAGACAACAGTGTCCCCTAAAAAACTTCTTCTTCTTCTTCTTCTGGTGTTTTATGGCGGTTTGGCAAACCAACGAAAGAGGTGCATTACCGCCACCTACTGATCTGGAGTGTGGAGTGTGCATAAATTTGGAAGAAAGAAATACAGAAGGGAAACCCTAAAAAACTGGAACTACTTCCGGTGTTACATCAAATTCTGTGACCATAGTAGGCGCTGTTGTCACTGTTTAGCTTTAACTCCATCACACAGTCGAATTGGGTATGCAAACAGCATTATGACACTCATTAAAGTTCACTTCACACGGGAACGCATGGACATTATATGAGCGCACTCGAATGACAGCCTGATGTCGTGCTGCATAGAAACGGATGTGCCGATTGAACTGTACAAAACAGGTTTACATCAAGAAACATGGTTATTAGACAAGCCAAGTGCTATTAGGATAGATATGGATGGTTTATATATATCCTCCTGAGAACCAGAAAAAAAAGCTTCGTGAATTTAGTTTTTTTTCATGTCGTTACATTGTTTAGCATAAGCAAAAAAATGGAAAAATAACATTTTTGAAAAAATATATTTTATTCATATGTTATGCTATGTCCTCTGTAGAGGACACCAGGACTCAGTTTTTCTAAAAAATGAAATGACATGAATAGACATGAAAAGGCAAAAACAATGGGATTTTTAAAAAAAAATCACCAATCAATTTTTAGGTTTCAGGATTTTTTTTATACCAAACTTTGTATAAGGATGATTCTCAATATGTTATAAAAGATATAACAAAATTATGTGATATACCATTTTACTTTATGCAATATGTGTGTAAAATTTCCATAAACTGGTTTTCCCATTAAACACAATGTTACACTGTACCTAATTTGCATATTAATGTGCTGTTGGGACAGCATGTTGAAAAAAGAAGTGTAATAATGGGAGTAATAATTGGCCAGATTTTCCATAATAATATCTAATATTTCATAAAAATATTGATATATCATTTATTTTCCTATTAATTTGATGTATCTCCCAAAATGCATAATAAACATGCTTTTAGTTCTGGTGTCCTCTACAGTGGACGTGTATGAAATCAATATCCTGTTTCATAACAGGAAGTCATATTTTGGTTTGAAACCCCATAACATTTTCCTGATATGTTAATTTATGACAAACAATTTGAAGATTAATCAGATTTAATGTATTATCATATAATATATATTATAATATTTCCATAAGGATCTGTTTTATGACCACGCCTTTAAATAAAAGCTTTGCAGATGGATCCGCACGTCTCTCGTCTCGTCGGCTCCGTTACACTTTTAGTCCCGGTGTCCTCATATGAGGACGTGTATGAAATCAGCATCCTGTTTCGTTACAGAAGGTCATATTTTGATTTGAAACCCCATAACATTTTCCTGAGATGTTGATTTATGACAAACAATTTGAAAATTCATCAGATTTAAATTATAATTACAAAATATTATCATATTTCCATAAGGATGTACAATTTTATCACTAAATTAATGTCAGACATTTTTAAAGACCAAGCAGAGGGAGTGAACATGGAGAAACTTCCAAATATTTGATATCTCTGAAAAGCCCTGAATGCGCTCTGTACAGGACACAGGAAAACTGTGACATGTGGGGTCTCAGAGAAATTCACTAAAATATAATGTCCACTACAGAGACAAAAACTCCATAGCTGAGTCTCAGGCGGTTATAAAATATTTATATAAAACACAAACAACACACACACATACAGTATATATATATATTCACCCATTATCAGTTTTATTTATTTTAGCTGTGTTGCTTACATCATACCAATGTTTTTACCTTTCTGTGATTTTTAATTGTAACAATAGCAAACCCACAAGAGTGGTCAGGTGTTAATTTGCACTTTAACATTCAAAGTCTTACAGTACCATACTTAATGTGGTGTACTGAAAAGTAGCTAAATAAACCAGCAGAATGTTATTCTAACAACTTAAATTATTAAACAAAGCAGCAAGCCATCTGTACATCTAAAACAACAACTCTTAATCTATAACTAGCTAATTGAGACAGAATGATATTGGAATATAATAGCAAAGACCCCAATAGGCTAATGTAAATGTA